CAGAGATACGCTTGACACCACCACGACGAGCAAGACGACGGATGGCGGGCTTCGTGATGCCCTGGATGTTGTCACGCAAAACTTTACGATGACGCTTGGCGCCTCCCTTACCGAGTCCTTTACCTCCTTTGCCGCGACCAGTCATTTTTAACTTTTACACTTTTAACACTTTAACAATTTTACTAGCCGAACACTGCACGCTTTATAGATTTCTGGAGAACTAAGTTATTGCACGTGTATTTATACAAAAGTCAACAACTAACAATGTGACTTACCTATATACAGAAAATTTTATCTCTTTCTAACACATGAATATAGTTAAGGCTCCATCCACCCTGATAATATGAACTTTTGAAACGTTGTGAAGTATTTTATTACTTGTACACAAATTATTAGTGTATGGTAAGATATATTAGTGCAGTGACTTTTCAGTTAAGGTGAAAATTAAATAAGTGCAGTGAAAAAAAATGGCTCGTACCAAGCAAACCGCTCGCAAATCCACCGGTGGCAAGGCGCCCCGTAAACAGTTGGCCACCAAGGCTGCTCGTAAGAGTGCCCCGGCTACTGGCGGTGTCAAGAAACCCCATCGTTACCGCCCCGGTACCGTCGCTCTTCGTGAGATCCGTCGTTACCAAAAAAGTACTGAATTATTAATCCGAAAATTGCCATTCCAACGTTTGGTTCGAGAAATTGCTCAAGATTTCAAAACAGATTTACGTTTCCAAAGTTCTGCTGTTATGGCTCTACAGGAAGCAAGTGAAGCATATTTGGTTGGTCTGTTTGAGGATACAAATTTGTGCGCCATTCATGCAAAGCGTGTCACAATTATGCCAAAAGATATTCAATTGGCCAGACGTATTCGTGGAGAACGTGCTTAATTGAATTGAAGAAGATAAATATCCAAACGGTCCTTTTCAGGACCACAATTTCTCAACGAAAGATCAAAATTTTACATATAATGATAAAAATAAATACTCAAACGGTCCTTTTCAGGACCACAATTTCTCAGCAAAAGATTAAAACTTTAAATCTAATGATATACTCGATATTGTAGATAGAAATTAAATTCCGCTTATAATCCACGGAACTGTACATGTGTACCACCATCTAGTTTTTTTCGCTATTATCTACCTACTGTACCCGCTGTCTCTGCAGATGACTTTACTTATACATTCATGAGTATGAATGTAATATTTGTTGCTATATGTGTATCGTATGCAACCAACCAGTTTTATATAACGAATTAAGTTTTATTATTAATACATATGTAGTTTTTTTTTTTTTTGAAAGTAATATCAACCTCTTTGAATATAGTTTGTCGTCCTGAAAAGGACGGTTTTATTCTTTTTTTTAGATAATATGTTAATAGTAAGACTCTCCGAGTTAGAAATTTATGCTTTTTTCTCAGTCTTCTTTGGTAAAAGTACAGCTTGAATATTTGGTAAAACACCACCTTGAGCAATAGTGACTCCAGATAATAGTTTATTCAATTCTTCATCATTACGGATGGCCAATTGTAAATGACGTGGAATAATTCTTGTCTTTTTGTTATCACGGGCAGCATTACCAGCCAATTCAAGAACTTCAGCTGCCAAATATTCCATAACAGCAGCTAAATATACAGGAGCACCAGCACCAACACGTTCAGCATAATTGCCTTTGCGCAACAAACGGTGTATACGACCGACAGGAAATTGAAGACCAGCACGATTTGAACGCGACTTTGCCTTGCCCTTCACTTTACCACCTTTACCACGTCCAGACATTTTTTAATATAATTTATTTAATACACGAAAAGGAAATATGAATCACTACAACCTTGCACAATGTACACTGCACAATTCACTCACTTTATATATACTATAAACTCTTCCAACATACCAACGCTGCTTATATACTTTTTCATTTCATAGTCACACTTCTGCCCTGGAAAGGCACGATATCCCGTACACAACAAATCAGCTCCATCAAGACAAGGACCTGATTGTCGTGATCAGAGGCGTCCTCGAATGCCTCGATGACGAAACCATCCTCAAAGAATTGAGGATGAAAAATGCTGCGGTGAAGAGCATTCACCGCATGCGAATGGGGCACAAAAATATGGCCCCTGATTACGGTCAATCTTGACCCTTCGCACTCCTCAGCGAAGGCGATTTTTGATCTCAAAACAATCGCTGGCCTCAGCGTCAGAGTAGAGGCAAAGCGGAAATCCAAGGTAATTCCACAATGCCTCCGGTGCCTCAACTTCGCCCACACGGCCAACTACTGCCACGCTCCATGGGCCTGCGCCTTCTGCGGTCGCTCCCATGCCACGGCATCCTGCGCTCTCAAAGAGCAGAAAAACGCGAAGCCCACTTGCATTCACTGCAAGGGCCCTCATCGCGCCACCTATCGGGGTTGCCCTAAAGCCCCCAAAAACACCAACCCGGACCTCCAAAAAAGGCCCAAAAGGCTACCAAGGCTCTCCCACAAAGAGCTACCCGCCCCGCGGCACAGACCACACTACCACCTCAACCCCAACCCCAATCACGAGCACAAGGGCCCACTCGCTCATACGCAGAGGTTGCCAAAAACGCAACCAAAAACACAACGCCCAATCCTGTCCCAAATATCGCTCACTTAGAGAAGCTTTTTCGGGACTTCCTGTCCACCGTCTTCAGGAACTAACCGTGGCCTGATAATCCTAAACTGGAACGCCAACGGGCTTTGCACTTCCAAAAGGATCGAACTGATCCAGCTAATAGAAGACAAATCCATTGATGTCGTTTGCATCACCGAAACTCACTTAAACTCCAAAAAATCCCTTTATATCCCGAACTTCACAATCTACAGAAACGACCGCCCAGATTCCAAAGGGGGCGGTGTCGCCATCTGTGTGAAGAGCTCTATCCGCCACCTAGCTGCCAACATTGGCCCCTCAACACTCGAGGCTGTAGGAATTGATGTATTTCTCAATTCACACAGGCACAGGATCATCACTCTCTATATCCCTCCTGACAAAAGCCCTCTCAACATTCCATCCCTCTTCAACTCCTCCACCCCTACCATTATCGCAGGCGATTTCAATTCTAAATATAGGATTTGGAATCGTTCTACGAATAATACTAATGGATTAACCCTTTGGAGAATGTCTCTCCAACACAACTTCAACATCGAAGCTCCCTCCGAACCGACCTACCACCCTACAAATCCCAGGTTCCAAGCAAGCACCCTGGACTTATTTCTCACAAAAAACGTGACCCTCAACAGAGACCCCTGGACCCTCCCTGAGCTCAGTTCAGACCACTCCCCGGTCTACCTGGAGCTCACAAATCGCCCCCTACTTTCTCCTCGGTTAAAGACAAAAACCGATTTCCTCCACCTGAAATTCTTGTTGGAAACTTCCGCTTTCACTTGCACCCAAATCAACTCCATAGCTGATCTTGATAAGGCGGTCGCAAGTCTAACGGAGGAAATCCAAAGCTCAATAATCTCAGCCACCTCCTCAATAGAAGCTACCACAAACCCAAATAATCTTCCCCTACGTATCCGAGCACTCATCGCCAGGAAAAACAAAATCCGCAAAGTCTGGCAAAAACACAGACTTCTCCGGCTACGCCAAACTTTAAATTCCACTCAAAGGGAATTAAAGGTTCTCCTCCTCCAAAGAAGTTCTGAAGACTTCAATTCCTTTATCGCCGAAGCCGAACAGCACCCTAAAAGTTGCTGGAAGGTTATCAGATCCTTAAGAAATCGTAAACTTCACCTCCCCGCCCTAATTAAAGACGGGATCTCTTACCCGCAAGACAAGGACAAAGCCAACGTCTTTGCTCAATCCCTTAAAAACCAATGCTCCCCCTTTCCAAGCCTCCAAAAATTCTCTTCTTTTCACGAAGAAGTGTCAGCAACTGTCCGGAGCACGACCTTCCAGACAGTCGAGTTTCAGCCCACCTCCCCCAAAGAAGTCTCCGAGGCTATCCGCTCCCTCAAAAACCGGAAAGCTCCAGGCCACGACAGTATCGGTAACGGCGTCTTGAAAATCTTACCGCGGAAACACCTTGTTGCCCTAAACAACATCATAAATGCCATGATGCGTTTCCAATATTTTCCCCTGGCCTGGAAAGCCGCCACAGTCGTCTTTCTTCCCAAACAGGGAAAACCTCTAAGCGATCCGGCAAACCATCGCCCCATCAGCCTACTCTGCACCCTCAGCAAAGTAGCCGAAAGCATAATTCTTTCCCGACTGGAGAAATTTGTTTCGGAAAAGAAAATTCTTCCCGACTTCCAACATGGGTTTCGAAAGCAACACGGCACCGCACACCAACTTCTGCGGGTCTCCGAATTTGTCGCTAACAACCTCAACAAAGGAAGACACATCCCTATGCTCCTGCTTGACTGTAAACAAGCATTCGATCGGGTCTGGCATGATGGGCTTATTTACAAGCTTATAAAACTAAATTTCCCACAATACCTCATTGGCTTAGTTAAATCCTTCTTGTCTGACCGGCAAATCACTGCTAGGGTGAATGGTGAGCTCTCCGAAGCTCACCCGATCACGGCGGGAGTTCCTCAGGGGTCCAAACTCTCCCCAGTGCTGTTCAACATTTATTGTTACGACATCCCAACCGAGGAGAAAATCCTTACAGCACAATATGCGGATGATGTCGCCTTCTTGTACGCCTCCCGTACAATTAACTTCAGTACATCCGCCCTCAATAAATTCATCCCCACCGTCCTCGATTGGTACTGGTTGTGGAGATTCGACATCAACACAACCAAATCAGAGGCAATATTCTTTTCACGGAGGAAACGCATTCCACCAAAAATCTTGGTAAATAGGTTCCCCATCAAATGGAGACCTTCCACGAAATACCTCGGTGTTGTCTTCGACAGACGGCTAAGCTGGACGAAACAAATCACAGCAGTTCGAGGTAAAGCCAATGGCGCCTTCGGCGCATTAAAACCCTTTTTCACCAATAAAAAGGTTTCACAAAGCACCAAAAAGCGAGCTTTTAATGCCATCATTAGAAGCATCTGCTCCTACGCCATCCCTATTTGGGGCTCTGCCTCACCCAGACAACTGTCCAGGCTTCAATCCACATACATGCGTCTACTAAGATCAGCCCTTAGTTTCCCGTGGTATGTTAGAAACAAACAGATCCTAGTGGAAACAAATCTCCCTTCCATTCAATCGGCAGCTATCTCTTACGCTGCAAATCTCCGGGCGTCAGTTGCATCCCACGCAAACCCCAGCATCAACTGTCTTGCCACTCTCAGGTGCAAGAAAACCGACCGTTTCAGAAGGCCATGTATCCTGACAAATCCTTCCGCTCCCACCTAACCAAAACTCGAGCTTCGCTTATTAGCGTCAGATTCTTTTGAGGGCCACCACCGCTCGCAACTGAATCTTCCTCCTTCTCCCGCAATTTATCTTCTAGGTTCATAACCATATGGTTGGCAACCAGTGTGGGGGGGTTTTAGTCGGTAGGCGCATCAAGCGATAACATCCAGGGAATCACTAAGCCTGCTATTCGGCGTTTGGCTCGTCGTGGAGGTGTAAAACGTATATCTGGTTTGATATATGAAGAAACTCGTGGAGTCTTAAAAGTATTTTTGGAGAATGTTATCCGTGATGCAGTTACCTATACTGAACACGCTAAAAGGAAGACAGTTACAGCAATGGATGTTGTATATGCTTTGAAGAGGCAAGGACGTACCTTGTATGGATTCGGCGGTTAAACAATTTTACTATCAAATATAAAAAAACAAACAAAACGGTCCTTTTCAGGACCATACGTATATACATATGTATATTGCATTCATATTATTTATGACGAAGTATGTTGGAACGGAATATGAGTAGATAAAAAAATTACATTATCTATGGACCTATGTATGTATGGATGTATATATGTATGGTAAGTAAGTTCAGTATAAAATTTTTACTAATATAGGATTTGAGTAGAAATTTATCCGACAATATATTAGCAAATTTTGAATTGATCGCATAAAACCGCTTTTTGTTTCCATACTATTATTTTACTTCATTTAAGTTGAAATGTGACTTTTTCATGTATATTCTATTGATAGTTAATGAATAACAGCACAAGGGCCCTAACGATAACCTCAAGTTATTTTTTTATTTTTTATTTATATTTATTTCTTAATGAAATCATCTTATTACTTCTTTAGATCATTGCTAATATAAATTATTTTAAATTTGTAAAATAATTTTAAGGTTTGATTTAAAAATAATTGAGAAAATTAAATTTAAAGAGGGAAATTTTGACTT